GGGCTGGTAGGCAAGTCCTGTGGGGTGAGGCTGAGAGAGCTGGGCATGTTCTGTTGGTAGGAAGGGGCTTTAGAGAGGATGTGAGAGCAGCCTGCAGATACCTGGAGGGTAGAGAAGAGGGAGAGCAGCATTTTTGTCTTGCCACAGAGAGCATGACATGGATCCATGGCTGAATGTCACAGCCAAGCAGGTTTAGGTTAGATATCCAGAAACACTTCTTTACTGCCTGAGCAGGGAGGCCACGGGGGAGACACCAGGGCCGGGGGGGACTCTGCAGCATGGGAGGGTCCAAGGAAAGGCTGGACAGATGCTGGGCAGGAAGATCGAGATGCCACGATGCCTGTGCCCTGCTGGTGGGGTGTCCCAGACTGCTGGGCTGTGCTAGTTGTCCCCATCCCCCCTTTCTGCTCCAAGTATCGGGGGGGTGAAGCCCTCCCAGAGGCACTGGGTGCTGGCTGCTGGCTGCATCCCAGGCTGGGACTGCGCCAGTGCTTCTGCTGGGAATCAGCCCCACAGGGTCCTGGCTACAGGCTCTTGCCCCCTGCTCAGGCTCAGCCCCACACTGCCTTGAGAGGGGCAGGCAGGGATTTGTCCCCTGCTCAGCCTGGCCTGGCCTGGCCTGTGGGGGTTTTCTCTCCCTCTGCAGCAGAGGCGTGGCCTCAGCTTGGGCTCTCTCCAGCACCCACCAACCCCCCGACAGCAGCAGGACATTGGTGGCCGTGGCCCCCCTGCTTTCCTGGTGGCAGGGGCGGGGACGATGCCTGGGGCTGTGTCAGGGTTGACTGTGTCATGCGGCTTCAAGGTTGCACGTGGGGTTTGTCTGGGCTGGTTTGGATGGGACTAATCCTGCCTCAGGTTGGATGTGATCCCGCAGCTCCCTACTGGCCTCATGGCTCTAGGGCTGTATGGTCTATGATTTCTGTGGGTTTGTGTCCAGGCTCAGGAGGAGCAGCTGGACTTGGGCAACATCCTTGTTGGCAACCTGCAGAGCTGCGACCTGGTGCTGCTGAATGATGGGATCTGCTCCCTGAACTACGTGCTCAGCGTGGAGCAGGCAATCACGGGCCCCTGTGACCCCGAGGAGGTCCTGGATGACCCACTTGGTACTGACTTCAGGGTCATGGGGGGACAGGGGACTCCTTTTTGTTGTTGGGACTTGGGGAACACCTGCTCTTGAGATGGCTAGTGGGCTTTGCTGGTAGCCACATGGGGCCAAGAAGGAATTTTCCCCCCTCCTGTTGCTGCATCAGGGATTTTTCCCTTCTCTTTCTTAGCAGTGCTGGGTGCTGGCTGGAGCCCAGGCTGGGGCTGTGCCCAGGCTTTGCCAATGCTCCTGCTGGGACTTAGCCCTGCAGGGTCCTGGCTAGAGGCTTAGGGTGGCCCATCCCTGGGGGCTCACAGGGCTGGGGGGGGCAGGCTGGCTGAGAGCTAACCCACATGCCCCTGAGAGTTCAGGCCTTCTCATGTTCCCATCCCCGGTCTCTTGCAGCATTAGAGCTGGGACACTACGAAGGCAGTATACCCGCCAGGTCCAAGGCCGTCGTCCAGGTGATGGCCAGCCCGACCCGCCAGCTGCACTACACCTGGACCATCAGCTATGCCATTGCCACCCCCCAAGGTGAGAGCTGGGGCTGGGAGGAGAGGGACAGACCCTGCCCAGGTGGCCCTGCCAAGCACTGCCCGGGCCCAGGCTGCAGGGCCACGGGAGAGGTCTGCTTCCTTCCATCCTCTGCCAGCTTCTGCAGAGAGGATGCTGGGGGCTGTCAAGCCAGGCGTGCAAACACAGAGCAAGCCCCAGCCCCAGCCAGTCTCCCCTGCACTCCTTCCTTATGCCTGCATGCTCGTGTTTGGGGTCCCTGGCATTCATGCCATGGCACCCAGACGGGGCTGCTACCCCCCAGCTCCTGCTGCTGCATGGCTCCTTCCCAACAAGCCATCCTTAGGCTTGGCACTAACCACTCCTGCTCCCCCCACAACTCCCAAAAGCTCCAGAAGCCACCAAGACCGTCTGGGCACAGCAGCCACTGTGCCATGTGAGTGCCACGGGTGTCTACCCCACCATTTCCATCACGGACGTGTGCGCAGCCGGGAGCACCAGCGGCATCAGCAAGCTGCATCTCTGGAGGCTCTTCTGCCTGGACACACTGAACCAGTACCTGGCCCGTGAGCCCACCCCTGTGGAGCTTACCTACAGTGTGCCTACGAGGCACAGGTAAGGGGAGACCCCCGTCCCCAGGTACACCCTGGCAGCTCGGGGCCACATGGGCACTTCCCTGCCTGGTGCCAGCAACTCCCCACTTGCCTCGCACCTATTGCTCTCCTTGCTCTTCTGGTAGGGTTAATTCCTTGGCATCTCAAGGTGTCCTTGGGCACAGCCTTGTCCTGCTGCTGGCCTGGCTGGGATTGGCAGCAGAGAAATAAGTCACAGGTTTGGGGAGCATGTACCCTGGGTGCAGCCCCTCAAAGCCAATGTGCTGAGGCCATGTCAGCAGTGCCCGCTCCACACCCTCTCCCCAGGCAGCAGGTCAGACTGAGACCTGGGAGCTGGAGTGATTCATGCTGCAACCACCCTAGATCATAGAAATCCTAGAGCTGTGGGGCTGGAAGGGACCCTCATGGGTCACATCTGGTCCAAGCCCTGCCTGAGGCAGGATCAGCAATGTCCAAATGCGTCCAGAAAAACCCTGTGTAAGACCTTGGAGCCGTGTGACACAGTTGCCCCTGACACAGCCCCAGGCATCGCCCCCACCCCTGCCCCTGGGATACAGGGGGACTGCAGCCACCAAAGACCTGCTGCTGCCAGTGGGTTTGGTGGGTGCTGGGGAGAGCCCAGGTCCAGGCCGTGCCCCCACTGCAGAGGGACGGGAAACCCCCCAGCCAGGCCAGGCTGAGCAGGGGACAAGTCCCTGCCGGGCCCCCTCCCCCGCCCAAAGCAGCATGAGTTGGGGGCAAGAGCCTGTAGCCAGGACCCTGTGGAGCTGAGTCCTGGCAAGAGCATTGGCACAGCCCCATCCTGGGCTGCAGCCAGCACCTCGGGGGGGGGGGGCCTTCAACCCCCCCCATCGCAACACATGGAGCAGAAAGGGAGTGAGAAGATGGGGTTCTGAGCATGCTGTGCACCCCACTTTTCCCCACTCTGGGACTGGGCTGCATATTGGGAGTCCCCGGTACCAGCTCCTGGGCATGGACAGAGGAGCCATGGCAGGGGGGCATCCCCCCCTGCACACATGGAGCATTAGGCCCCGTGGGAGGTAGGTCACTGGCTTCAGCTGGCCCCTGAGGGAGGACCCTGCCCCCAGCTCAGTCCCATTTCCCCCCCCCCACAGCGCACACCCCGTGCCCCCCATGCACACCCCCATCCTACTGGACTTTGACTTCGGGGCAGCTCCACTGGACTCGGCGCCTTCCACGGTCATCCTGATGCTGGAGAACCAGGGCACGGTGCCTGCTGACTGGTACGTAGCTTGCAGAGACCCAGGGCCTTTCTGGAGGCCCACGACAGCTCCCTGGCCGTGGCGCCACTCCCAGGGGCTGCGGTTTGTGTCCACGGTGGGGGCAGAATTATGCCATGCAGGGGGTCCTGGGGGGACCATCTCGTTTCGAGGGTTCTGTCTTAGGTCTTGCAGAACCTCAACTCCCGGGTCTGTCTGTGGATCCAGGCAGGAATGCCTAAGGGTCCCAATGGCCCCCGCGGCCAGGCTGTGGGTCAGCCCCAGTATGTTTGCCTTGGGGAGGCAGTGCGTGCGCTGGGCCCTGCTGCAGCTGACCGGCCTCACCGGCTCCTCTAGGGCCTTCCTGTTCCCCGCGGACCAGAAGATTGACATGGAGCACTGGGCGGAAGATGTGGAGTTGGGCCCCTGTGAGCTGCACCACATCAGGGTGCAGGACAACAAGCTCTTTGATGTGTC